ATTTTATTTATTTATTTGAGAGAGAGAGAATGAGAGACAGAGAGCATGAGAGGGAGGAGAGTCAGAGGGAGAAGCAGACTCCCTGCCAAGCAGGGAGCCCGATGCGGGACTCGATCCCCGGACTCCAGGATCATGACCTGAGCCGAAGGCAGTCGCTTAACCAACTGAGCCACCCAGGCGCCCTACCTAATTATCCTTAAAACCATCAGGAGTAATTTCTTTTTATGGACATATACATCCAAATTACACGGATAATTTACCTTTCCCAGCACCTGGCCAAGATTAGACATACACTTGAAAAATGAATTTATCCACACGAAGAACAAACACAATCTACAATTGTGTCTTTATTAGAATCCTGACACATTTTGTATACATATATCTCTTGTGTTGAGGATGAAGAAACTGGATCAAAAGTATTTAAATGGTTTGCTTGTAGTTACACACCTAAAGAAAGTAAACCATTTTCTCCTTCCCTTACTTCCTGGTTTTCCTCCTTGGTTGTTCCTTCTCAGTTTCTTTTAAAGACCCTCTCCTTCCACCAGTCCTTTAATTACCAACCTCTCCTCAGGATCTGTTCTCTCTTCCCAGTCTACATAATCTTACTAGATAATTCCCACCGCATCCATAGCTTCAATTCCCACCAAACTCCAATGACTCCCAAATTTGAATTTCCATCTGGGACCACACATCTAAAATCAGATCCACATATCCTACTGCGTACTAGAAATCTCAATGCGGATGTTCCATGGGTATAATATTTGACACATGCAAAAGTGAACTCCTGCTCTGCTTTCCACCTTCTCTAAAAAATAGTACCATCATTCACCCGCTCATTCACTTGAAACAGAAATCTGGGAATTCCTCTACCTCCCAAGTCTTCCACATTCAGTCACTGAATTCTATAGATTACACCACCTGAATCTCCCTGGAATCTGCCCTATTCCTCTCTCAGGAAACCTGATTATCCTCATTTTTCCCCTTAATCTTCTAATTACTTCTAAGACCTTCTTCCATGTTTCTTGATCTTTTGTGCCTTTAGCCCACAGTCCCCCTCTCCATCTCATTTCCTGACATTTCCATCTTCCCCTGATTCCGCTTGGCTACAGGCACACCGTAAGATGACTGTGTGTGGCCTTCATCACCACTTCAAACTGTGCCAGCGTCTGGAACTCCAACTCCCTTCTGATCTCAGTCTTCATGCTCCTAATCCCTCAGCCTCCACCTCATCTCATAATCCAGCACTTTCCTACACCTCACTCACTCCCATTATCTTCAGCCCATAATTCAGACATCTTGACGATCTTGTCACTGGTACTGGAGATTCTTCCACCAACTTTATGCCTTGACCACCCTTAACTCTGGATATGACCCTTCCTTTCTTTTCTCTTGCTACAGAACTACCGAACATAAAGCTAAAAAAAGTAAAATAAACTAAGAAATACTGAAAACACATTTCCAAATTTTTTAATGAGTATAGATTACCTTTATAACTAAAATAATAATGATAACATTGAGATGGCATCCCTCAAAGGAGTTCCTTTTTTAGCTTGTGGATCTTCAGATTGATAATTCTGCCATTTTCATTTCATTTCCTGAAAGTCAGGCCCGGCTTGTAAGAAGTTGTTAAACAACACCCTAAGTGTGAACTGTCAACCCTCACCCTAAACCTCCCCTGTTCAGAGCACCACATGAAGACTTCACTGGGTTTTATAGTGGCCTCCGATGATGGTAGTCCACTGGAGACTGGAGTTTGAAAGCTGCTGTATACTGCTAGTGGCTGTGTGCCCATGTCCTCCCTGAAATACCAGGATTGTTTATGACAAGTATTTTTAATAAAGCTGAATACAGTTTGACTTGGAAAAAAAAGAATACTAAAATAATAATAATAATGATTTAAAAAAGAAATTAAAATAACGATTAAGGAAATAAAACTCTAGGCACTGAAGTTAGACTACTTGTATCTAAGAAACTACTATAAAGTTTCTAAGTGCCTGTATAAAATACTACCTAGATCTTAAGAAATAAATTTAAAAGTTTATGTGACAATCCAAAATCATCTTTACAAATACTAAAGTCTAAGCATGAAAATCCAAAGTCTTATTTTAGTCAACAGCTTTAATATCTTTAAAAGATTAGACGTGTATAATTTGTTTTGAGACACGGCAGACTCACCTGGAGTTTGTACTACAGCATGCAAATTCTTTTCTTGAAGTTGTTGAATTCTTTCATTCTTAGCTTTGCTCTCTTTCTCCAAAAGTTTGAGTTTATGAACATATTGGTTATTTAGAAATTTCAGATCAGCTGTTTCACGTGCACACTTCTTCAACGTAGTTTTCAACTCTTAAAATGAAAAAGATTCAAAAACCATTTTACAGATCAGGAAATCTATCAAATCCTTCCATTTCACAAAATACAAAAGTCACATTAATTTGAAAGGCTCCATCTGATTCTTACCCAAGCCTTTGTCTGAAAGGTTATTACCTCTTCCACCATTATTAACAAAACTACAAGTCAGTCACTAAACAAAAAAGGGAATCATATTTTTCTTCTGCTATATGGCTTAATATAAATTATGGCATTTGCTCCAATCCAGTAAGCTGGGTATGTAGCTGAGGGATTATATATTCATGCCAGGTATCAGACAGGGCTTTTTACTGATAAAAGAAAAATTTATAGTAAGATAGCCATACAATTACCCTCTGTCCGGTACCTTTGAAATCATTCTATTCAATCTTCCAGCTCGAAGACGGGGGTATTAAAGAATCAGAATGATACAAGGCTTTCACCTCATTTTAGTCCTCTTACTTTTAGTAAGGGAAAAATGAAAGTTGTTTCAAGGACATTTCTTTAGTTTCAGCATTTAATATTTCCTAGAGCAATTTTTTTATTAATTAAAAGATTTATTGAGTATAGTTGACACATGTTATATTGATTTCAGGTGTACAACATAGTGATTCAACTTCTCTGTAAGTTATGTTACGCACACCACAAACGTAGTTATCATCTGTCACCATGCAACGCTATTACAATATCATTGACTATATTTCCTATACTATGCATCTTTCTACAGCAATTTTAATTCTAAAAATTTAATCTACTTATAGTGAGGATGATTATAGCTATGAAATGTAAATTTATTTTCCTTATTGGGAACTCTTCAATGCACTCTACATTATTTCAAGACTGTTAGCAGGAAGACTATCACAATATTATATATAAGCTTTTCCTACAGAAAAAACTTTTTAGGCAAAAAATACAGCATTTTAAAAAGTCACAATATTTTACCTTTAATGTGTTGACCTGATTGTTCTCTCAGTTTCATTAATTCCAGGTATAATTCATTATTTTCCTTGATCAATCTTGCATTTTCAAGTTTATAAGGTTCCAAAACAAAATCAAAATTGGCACTTTCTTTTTCAGCTTTCACAGTAGATAATTTTGATTTCCGAAGACTTTCTGTTGTATGAACTAGGTCACTGAAATTAAAGAACAGAAAATATAAATACAAGGAAACATTCCATTAACTTTTAATAACTAAAAATATATTTCAAGAAAGACTTAAATGTTAACACTAAGTGAGATCAAATCTAAAAACAAAAACACTAGGAGTCTTTCAAGGTACCAGGTGCTCAAAAATTTCTCAAAACAAGATTAAAAGTTATGAAACATACACATAGTTAGAATCACCTTTCAATCTCTCCTCTCATTCATCCCCCATGTCCAATTAATCACCTTATCCTGTGGAACCTGTGAAACTTACCTGTACATTCAGCAAAGATTTACTGAATGCCTGCTATATGCTAAATGCTAGCATAGAAGAATAAGAATTGATTCCTTACCTCTAAGAACACAGACCAGTAGAATATTCACTCCATCAGTATTTACCGAGCAGGGAACACAATATAGAACACAGCATCATAGAGCTTATATCCTACTGACAGTTTGTCAAAAGTTATAATACTGTGTGATAAACTCAACAACTATGTGTTCAGCCTGTACTAGATAGAGCAGAGATAAAGTCAGTCTCTAGTCTTATGGAGTTTACATTCTAAAGGAAACACAAAAACAAGTTTCCAACAATGATAAGTAGTGAAGGTAACACGTAGCAGATGTGACAATCTTGCAGGCCATAGAGCTAAACAAGCATAGGGCAGGAGGGAAAGGTCAGACAGACTTCCCAGGCAGACAGAATAGCACATGGAGAGACCAAGGGGAGAGACTGGTGGGGAGTGTTTATGTTCAGGGAGCTCCAAATGGTTAAATACATGGGAGATGAAGGTGTCGGGAGTATAAGATCACTGTGGAAAAAGTCTGCCAGTTTCTTAGAAAATTAAACATACTTCACCCACCCTCCAACCTTGAATCACAGAGCTAGAACTAGATCATGAAGGGTTCTGGAGGCCATAATAAAGAGCACCAAATATCTTTCCTCCATTCTCTCCTTACCATCATCATAGCTTGTAGCCCTACTGCAAAAGCTTTCTAAGCAATTTCCCTGCTCCAGTCTAAAGGAAAGAACAAAAAATGGAAAAGAACAAAATCACATAGAATCTTTCAGTTAAAATAACATGTAACTGCTAAAGTAATGACCAACCACATATGAGAGAACCTTTATCAAATCACAGCAATTAAAGACTAGTGAGGCAGACATAGAATACCCAAGGATATCAGAAAATCACATTAAAAAATTGTAATTCTATTCACGGAGAACTCTCAAAAACATCTACTCTGAACAGTAGAGTATGAAAGGTGACCCCTAGAGTTTTGCAATGTGGAGGCCCTGAACTGATGATCTGGGAGTAGGATCTAAGAATAGATGAGCTTCAGATGACTGAAGGACTTAAAAAAAAAAACAAAAAACCTACCCATTTCTTTACTGTAACATGAAGTTTAACAGAAACTAGATAAATGGGATTAAGGATCACATGGGTTTAGAACTGTATTTTCATCTTTACCTGAAAAGTTTTTCTACCAATGGTAAACACTCCACTGTCAGAGTCTGGCGGTATCCCAACTGATCCAATCTTTTTCTAATATTAATGTACTTTCTTTCTGCAGCTGCAGTCATCTTGTCTTCCAAAACTAGTTTTATTCACTCCCCAAAATTAAAGTCCTAAAAGAAAAGAGTAAAACATTATTCTGTTATTATGGCTATTATTACTATTTCATGGTAAGAAGAAAAGATTCTTTCAATATGAAGCAACTTTTTTTGTTTCTCTTCAGGTAGGCAGCCTTCTGGAATATTTAGACTTGACTTAAATGCAATGCTTATGATAGTCATTTGCTGCATTAATAAACATTAATAAACCTATATGTAAAAGTTAAAAAAAAAATGGAGAAAACAAAGAATATTTTCCCAAACCTGAGGTAGGCAGAGAATCTTTAGAGAAGCCTCTTTTGAAAGACTAAATACAAAAGAAAAACCTGATAAGTTTTTGAACTTCATCAAATTAAAAATGTCTGCTCATCAAAATATTCCATTAAGAAAACAAAAAGATAAAGGAAAGAGTGGGAGAAAATATCTGACAAAGGATTTGTATATGGAATACATAAAGAACACTTACAGTTCAGTAATTACAGTCCGGTAAGAAAATGGGCTAAAGACTTGAACAGGCACCTTGCAAAGATAACTGAACAGGAATAATCATATGAAAAGGTGCTCACCACCATTAGTTATATGGGAAATATGAACTAAAACCACAATGAAGTACAATTTCACTCATACTAGAATGGCTAAAATATCGAAACACAGGACAGATGGAAAAGAGTAAAATCCCTCCAAGAAGAACAAAAAACATCCTCACCTACGGGCTGCTGTCTTCCCCCACCTACATCACCCAAACACTGTGCTATACTGAAAGTTTCTAGCACAACATAAAAGCTTAGGTTTGGAGGTCCCCCGCGCATACGTGTTTAGAACTACTCACTAGCTTACCTCTGGGAAGGTGGGTGTCTGAAAGCCAGTACATCTTATTTTTACAAAAGGAGCCCGTGTGTATGTATGCACAGGGGCTCAAAACAAAACAAAACACCAACCTTAACTTAGGTTAAGTCCTTCCACACTGAACTTAAAATAGTAGTGACTGGAAGGTAAAGGGGATGTTTTCGAAGATGCAGGGCAAAGGTTAACAAATGGCTCCCGTCCTACATTTTTGGGTACTTTGTTTTTACAAAGAGCCTGTAAGATTCTTACACGAGAGAGCACTTTAACTTTTAAATCAACCCATCAGTCGGCGGTAGGCGGGTGTGCACACACCGCACAGACTCCCGCAGCGAGCGGCGCGGAAGGAAATAGGGAGGCTCGAGCGGCCCCAGGTCGACCTCCGGGCCGCAGCTTCACTGCCGGGTTTCGAAGGGGAGGGGTGTCGGACGCGGAGCCGGCGACGAATCTCCGCGCCGCGCCCCGCCCAGCCGGGCCCCACTTCCTCCCCAGCCGCGCGGCCTCCCTCCCGGCAGCACCCGGGCCCGGCCCGCGGGGACCTCCCGGGAGGCTACGGCGAGAGTGCCGCCGCCGCGCCCGGGCCTCCCGCCCCCACAGCGGCACTCACCCCCAGCTCCAGCCGCCGCTTCCTCCGCCTGCGGCCGCATCGCCCTTCGCGCGTCGCCTCCCTCGCTGGCTCCTTCCGCCCCAGACTCCGGCACCGGCGCTAGGACAGTTTGAAAATGGCGCCGAGAGACGATCCCAGCCGGCGCGGACTCGGCGCCGCGGTTGCCTCGGTAACGGGAGCGGCACAGGCGATGCGCGGCGCGCGGCGGGGGCGCGCGCGGCGGCGATGGCGGCGCTGGGCCCAAGTGCCCGGAAACGCAACGGCCGGACAGCGCGCGGCCACGGCGCCTCCTGCCGGTCGGCAAACCCCGCACTTCAGCGGATGCTAGAAATGATCCCTCCCCATTGCGGGATTCGTTGCTTGTCTACCCCGCGCAGGGTTAAAACGCTGTCCAGCCCTTGGTCCCTGCAGCGGATAAGCCTTCACGCGTCAGGTGAACGCCTGCTGACCACGAAAAATCCAACCTGATAATCACGTTGCTTTGCAACTTTCCCTGACAACCGCCCAATAAAATTAACTATTGTTGCCACACCCCTCTCCCTGTAAAGCGGTGTAGACACATTTATTATACTCATCCCATCATGAGTATAATATTAAGTTTTGATTCCATGAATTATGGCTCATCCCATCAAAACGTAGTTAGCTGTATGTCTCTCCCTGGCCACCTCACAACTGAATTTTTTGAGTCAGACATTATTTTACTCAGTTATGTTTCTTTAGCACCTACCACAATAAACATTTGTGAAGGGAATTCAATTGAAATAAACTGGTTGTGGGGTAGAGAGCTTGCTCACTTAAAGAAACCATATAGTTCAAATCCTAGAATTCCACGTCTCCTCTGAAGATTTCTGTATAATCCGAGAGGAGCTCAAGTCCTTTCTGTTCACTACTCTCCCGAGTAGGCCTTACAGTCAGAAAAGGTACTTAATCTTTGCATGTCATATAACTGCTCTGTGGGTTGTGAATAACTTTGTACCCATTCATATATTGACATACACATACGTTTCCATTATGTCTACTTGGTTTCCCCACATGTCTTAATGAGTTGATTTATGGAATTTCTAGGAGACAGTGACTTAGGTACTACTGTAAATGGCTTTCATAGTCTTGAACATATATAATAAACACATTTTTTTTTGCTGAACAAATATCTCTTTTGGAAACAGCGAGGCATAAATAAATTAATAACATAACAAAATAGCTGTGCAACAGCCTCTAGTCCAGAAGACTGCTTGGTTTCCTTTTGCCCCAAAAACACAGTAATTAAAACAAAAATCAAAATCAAATTCAAAAGGTGGGCGAAACACTGATGTTATGGCCCTGTTTTGCCCCAGGGGACATGAAAGACCAGAGTCAGGTTCACTGCTGGACTCCAGGGCCTAAGGTCAGGGTCCCTAGCACACACATCCATATCTCTAGGAGGGCTACCATTCAACCCACTACACTCCCTTAGTTCTTGACATTTAGTCTGGGTGAGCAGGAAAACAAACAATCATGACTATGTAATAGAACCACTGTAAAAACCCTAAACAACAGGATCCAGAGAGTTTCCAGGTTGGTGAACACATCAAGGTGCTGGGAGGGTGACATGTCTGGAAAGGGCGTGGAAGCTCCATGCCCCTTCCCCCTTCCTTGCCCTGTGCATCTCTTCTATTTGGCTGTTCCTGAGTTCTGTCCTTTATAAGAAGCTGGTAATAGCAAGTAAAGTGCCTTTCTCAGTTCTGTGAGCCATTCTAATAAATTATCTAACCTGAGAGAGGTCATGGGAACCCCAGTTTATAGTTGGTCCAACAGAAGTATGGGAGGCCCAGAACTTATGACTGGCATCTCAAGTAGGAGCAGTCTTGTATAGTCTTTTTTTTTTTTTTTTAAGATTTATTTATTTATTTGAGAGAATGAGAGGGAGAGAGCAGGCGCATGCATGCAAATGGGGAGAGGGGCAGAGGAAGAGAATCTTCAAGCCCCTGCCCCCCTCCAGGGGCTTGATTCCATGACCCATGAGATCATGACCTGAGTGAAAACCAAGAATTGGTTACCCAACTAACTGAGCCACCGAGGCACCCAGTCTTGTAGAGTCTTAACCTGTGGAGTCTGCGGTAAACCTAGGTAGTTAGAGTCTGAACTTAACTGAAGTCTGGACCGCTTGGAAAAGTGATTTTGGAAAAGACACTGTATTTGGTGTCAGGAGGGAAAAACAAAAAAAACAAAAAATCTCTCATCTGGTGTCAAAAGTGTTGTGAATAAAAATAATTCACCAGGAAACAATTAGGTATGTGCAGATAATGTTTAGGAGAAACTTAACAGAGATAAATTGAAGTTTCTTTTTCAGATTTCTTCTCTGTATTTTCAAAACATATTCTGCATATCTGGATATCATTAACTCTGCTGTTGTCACTGATTATCCCATTTCCCCTGTTAGACCATGAGCTCCTCATACTACACAGAAGACTAATGTGATCTTCTTTGTGCCCATAACCAAGTAGAGTGACTGGCACTTAATAAAAGATGAGGAAGGTTGGACACCTGGGTGGCTCAGTCGGTTGGGTGTCTGCCTTCGGCTCAGGTCATGGTTCCAGGGTCCTGGGATCGAGTCCCGCATCGGGCTCCCTGCTTGGTGGGAAGCCTGCTTCTCCCTCTCCCTCTGCCTGCTGCTCCCTCTCCCTGTGCTCTTTCTCTCTCTGTCAAACAAACAAATAAATAAATAAATCTTAAAAAAAAAAAAAAAAGATCAGGAAGGTGAATTGAATTGAACAGAACTGAATGAACCAGATCTTCTGACCCCGAGTCCCATACAACACAGTTGCCTCCCTACAGTGACTGGCCCAAAGATGGGGCTAAAATGTCACTATGACCGCTAGCTAATTCAGGTCCTTTTATTTAAGCAGCAGGGACTCAGTTTCCCTATTACCACAGGTATGTGGTTTGGCTGGCAACCTGATTTTTACTGGCAGATAAGGATAATGGTTACAATAGTTCCCGTCTGTCTGGAGCCTTGCAGTGGAGTCTCTGTAGTGACTTGGCTACAAAAGACACTCAAGCTGGGTAAGTGATCAGATGTTATGAGGAGCTATTCTTTAGCAGCAGAGACACTAGGAAATTATTTCCAAGAAAGGGTCACTTTTAAAAGCACAATGCTAAAGCATCTTAATGACATAGCAGCTTCTTTTGTGTCTACAAAGACATCAGAACTTCTCATTGCATAATGCTAGTGCAAGGGATTACACCTTTTAATCACCATTTGGAGTCAGTAAGAATAGAGAGAAGAGTAGGGGCTCTGCATGACTGAAAAGATTGATAAACACTAATATATGTTTTAAAAAACTTTTTCTTGCACTTCAAAAGTTCTATGGTCAAAAGACAAAGGACAGCTGGGAAAAATATTTACAACTATTACCATAGACCTTCTATATAAAGAGCTCCTATAACTCGACAGTAAAATGACTAACAAATAATAGAATATAGTTGGAAAATAATTTTAAAATGAGCAAAAATATGAACATGTAATTCATCACATGGCTCTTTACCCGTATGAACAGGGACTCAAACTCACTGAAAATAAGAGGCATGTAAATTCAAAGTAGTGGAGGTATGAAGGATGAGTAGGTAGCCAAGTAAAAGGTAGAAAAAGGCAATAAGCAAAGATACGAATAAACTAATATTAGTCATAATGCATCGAGTGCATATTAGGTTATGTTCTAAGTGCTGTGTGTGACTTACAGGTACTAGTTCATTTAATCACTATAGTAACCCTATGACATAGGCGGTATTGGTATCTCCAGTATACTGATGAGATTGACTTACTAGAAGTCACAAAGTAAGTGATAAGAGTGTTGGCTTCAAGTCTGGAAGTTAAAACAATTCTGTCAAGGAAAGGAAATCTATAGGACAATGGCCAAAAAAGAGAATATTCAGATGGTGATCAATTAAATTTTGTGGAGACATAGAGTTGCCAGGGTCCCAAAAGGTTAATTAGACCAGCCTCCCACATAAACACAGATGTCTGTGCAACTTCTCTAACAGATGGTCATCCCAGCTACCCTGTAGCTACTTGCAACAACCAGAGGACTCACTGCTTTTCAAAGCAGCTCATTGCATTGCTGAAAGCTTTGTTAGAAAAATTCTTCTTTATATGAAGCTAAAATCTGCTTCTCCTTGAGTGTGAGCAATTTTTTTCTGAGCAATCAAAAGAACGTGAATTTTCTCCCTCATACATGTGATGACCCTTCAAAATACTCCAGATCCTTCAACCTTTGCTCACATGACATGGTCTCCAAGCCTATGACTTAACGGGCTACCTCGTCTGGAGTAGAAACACTCTAGTTTTTCTGTTTTCTTATTGTAATTTATACCTATAAATTATTGTATCAGATTCAGACTGAGGACTGGGATATATTTGTTTCTGTTGATGTATCTGGCACAGGCACATTCAATGTATATCAACACAATCTAGTATCACCTTAGCCTTTTTATAACTGAGTCACATATTCAGCAGTAAAGAACCATACATGAGCTTCTTTCTATGGCTGATACATTTTTAATATTTACTTAATTATCTTGAAGACAAATATGAGTTTTTGGAGCAGAGATCAAAGTTATTATTACATCAATAACTATGGGTTCACTTGCCCAACCCCCCAGAGTGATAAGATGAAAGCCAGATGTTACCCAATATGTTCTGGGTTCTATACTGCAGGACAGTAAGCCCCTCTAAATTAAGAATCTGAGAGTTTATATATGAGAGGGACAGCTCTCACCCCTCCCTTCCTGAGAAAGGAAGACAAACGTTTGCTGCCTATGGTATACTCATTTTCCTTAGAAAGAGAAGGGAAAGGTCCTGGGTTCTTACCTTCTGGAATATAAATATGTTAGACCCTTGAACAGCCTGGGGGGTTGGGGTAAAGACCACTGCACAGTTGAAAATCCACATATAACTTTTGACTTCCTTAATACTTACTAATGGCCTACTGTTGACCAGAAGTCTTACCGATGATATAAATTCGATGAACACGTATCTTGCATGTTATATGTATTATATATTGTATTCTTACAAGAAAGTAAGCTAGAGAAAAGGAAATACTATTAAGAAAATCATAAGAGAAAATACATTTACAGTACTGTATTTATTGAAAAATATCTGCATGTAAGTGGACCTGCATAGTTCAAACCTGTATTGTCCGAGGGTCAACTGTAAATGTCTCCAGG